ACTCAAAGCCCAGTCCTGAGAAGACGGGTCTAGCTGGACTCCCCCGTGCACAGAGGGCAGGACAATTTTTGTCTCTAGGGAGAAGAGAGCTGCGGTAAGTGTCTCCACTGGGTGTCACTATCACACCAACTGGCAGGCTGCAAGGTGATAAAGCAAAGGAGGCCCCCCTTCTCCCTCCCCCGAGGGGGTAACAGGGAAGGGATTACCTGGTCAGTCCAGGGAACACTGGCTGGGAGCCCAAGCCTGTGCATTAGTCTTACTGTGCTACTCACCGCAGCCATCTGGCTTGACCTGAGTGGTAAAATTAGGGGGGGCGGGAAGCTCTCGGATGGAGCTCCCTGCTGGCAGCTGTTTCCTGCAGCCAGGCCTCCCCCACACCTCTGCAAACATCTGAGCCGGGCGGTGAGCTAGAGCTCCTCCCAAGGTGCTGGGGGCTCCGTTCCCTGCCTCCCCTGGGCCCATCCACCTCAGGGCCAGTGTGTGCTCGGTGCACCCAGCCTTCCAGGCTTCCAGCCTCACGGCCCGGAGCACTCACACAGAACGGCTCCTGGCACCCTCTCCTACGGAGGCAGAGGCAGAAGGCAGAGGCACTGCTGATGACAGGGGCTCACCGTGCAGGTGGAAGCCATCCTCGGAGGACGCAGGACTTCCTGGGCCCCAGAACGTGAGAGAGCTGAGAAGCAAAGCCCCTGTGGGGCTCTCTTACCTTGAGGGTCACACAATGCGTGGCCCCTGCCTGCTCACCCTAGGGCCGTGGTCGGCAAACTGCGGCTCGCGAGCCACATGTGGCTCTTTGGCCCCTTGAGTGTGGCTCTTCCTAAGCCTTAGGAGTACCCTAATTAAGTTACTAACAATGTACCTACTTATATAGTTTAAGTTTAAAAAATTTGGCTCTCAAAAGAAATTTCAATCGTTGTACTGTTGGTATTTGGCTCTGTTGACTAATGAGTTTGCCGACCACTGCCCTAGGGGACTCCAGGCTGCATGCAGTACTGACCCCCAGGGACAGGCCAGTGCTGGGCTGCCTGTGAGCTGACATCCCACTCAAAATGTAACCAAATTGTATCGCCTGTGGCCTGAGCCTGTTGAAGTTGTAGGAGCCAAGCAGGCAGGTCCACGGTCTGGCCACTGGGTTCTTTAGAGTGACTCAGAGGGCTGTGGGAGCTAAGAGAGCGAGTGCCCAAAAGAACGACCCTCCAGGACTGCAGAAACCCTATTTCTGGGCAGAAAACCCCAGGAGGGGTCTATTCTATTCCAGACCATCCCCAGTGATCTCCGTGAAGTCCTTCTGTGCAGGCCCCACTGTCCCCCAACTTGGAAGACAGATGTTTGATCTTCCCCTGGCCAGGCCCGAGTCGGGGGGAGCAACTCGCCTAACTCTATGCCAGGAAACAGTGGTGGACACACCAGCACCGGTTCAGACACCCTCCTCCTGCTAATCTCTTATCTGGGTTTTGGTTTTGTTTCCCAGGATCGTGAAAGCTACAGGGTCTGGACCTTGATCTGCCCTGTGTCTGACGTCCTGAGACATCTGCAGGGGGTGTACTCTGAGCGACTTCCTCTCCCTGGACCAACACGCTAAGAACGGCTCAGAACTCCTAAGGTGGGGTCTGAGAGCCTTGGGCCACCAGCTGAACATACTTCTTCTAAGACAGTCTGATAAAGTGAGTGCACCGGCCAGCGGGCCTTGGGTGGGTGCTGTGGGTGTGTGTTTGGAGCGTGGGAGTAGGGGGAGAAGGATGAACTTGAAATGGTGGCCCACTTAGAAATCAAAAGGCATCGTAATCCCAGGCTCGGCTGCAGGTGTTCGGGGCAGGCATGTTCAACTTCAGGCTCAGGCATGTTCAATTTCAGGCTCAAGTCACACACTCTGTGGGTGGACGTGGAGCGTCAGAAGCCTTGGGAATCGGAAGTAATTGTCTTGCATTCAGTGACCAAGTCACAGGCAGAAGCGTGGGATTAAGCCCGGACCCGGGCCAGACTCTTTGCAGTAAGAGCCTCCTGACAGAGCTGCAGCTCAGGTGTCTCTTCCCTCCTGAGTCAGAAGTGGCAGCCACATGCTTCACTAGCCATCCCTCCCTCGGGGAAGCCCAGACCCCATCCTCTCCTGAACCCTATGCCCGTTGTTCGAATGCAGCAGAGCATTAAACGGTGGCTATCCCCACACTCAGAACGATCACGAAGCCTCCAGGAATTAGCTTGAAATGTGGTCCCAGACCAACGACCACTCTGGGAACCCTTGACAGGAATCGAACCCGGGACCCTTCAGTCAATGCTCTTATTTTCTTGATGCTCTGGCATTTGGGGCTCCAGGACCAGGGACAAACTGCCACTCCCAGGGCAGTAGAGGTAGCAAAGGATTCCCCTGTGAGTGTGGCTTTCATATGCAAACCAACCAATCCAGAGCCTTCCCCTCACCCCCCCTCACACCCCCCAATCTGGCCAAACCAGTAGCTCCCTGCCCCAGTCATCCCAGGGCCAGACACCAGACAAATCAGGACAGCCCTGTGCCCCAGAGCCCGCCAGAACTCTTCAAGCCAGCCAGTGCCAACCCTGTCCAGCACTTACCCTGCCTCGCCATCCTCCCTGCAGACGTCACAATGGAAGCTTTTGTGCGGGCTTTCCCCTTACCCCTTCCTCCCGGCTGACCCCTGCTTCCCTGTGTGGCCCTGCCCTGCGTGGCTGGCTGTGCCGCCTCCTCCTAGAAACTCTTACAAACTATCTTTTTCTTGTTTTTCCTTTGAAATGAACCTTGACTGATCCCATATTAAATGGGACACAGTTAAGAAATGGGCCTCCTCCGTCTGTGGACAATGGTCTCCACTGTGTTGCTCCTCAGCCGGTACATCCTGCGGCTCGCTGGCCCTTTACAATTATTCACACGCCCAGCATGGCACTGAGGCTTGTGCAGAAGCTCAGAATCTTCTTAGAAAGTTGTGTAAGCAGAGTAACGGTCACAGCCTCATTTTACACAAGCGTTGAGATGCATTTGTCACTACCCGGGAGGTGCTGGGGCGCCAGTCACAGGCTCTTCCGAATAACCACCAGTGACACTTGCTGTGGCTGCCCCCCCAAAGCTGGGGGGGGGGTGGTTGACTCCACATCAGCAGACAATTCCAAAGCCTGTGCATTCTCCTATTAAACGTCAGTGGCCGACCCTCCACCGCCAGTGAGGCGGAGCTCAGTGGCTGGCTCTGAGTCAGTGGTTGGCTTCAGTTCAGCCTGGAATGTGAGTTATTGACAATGTCTGTGTCTGGGTCAACATTGATGTCTGGAGTCATGAGGGGAGAGTCCCAGCCAGGAGGAGCCAGGTCACGAGGATGAGGGCCTTCCCGATGCTGGTGCGGGCTGGGAGCGTGGGAGGCTGAGAAGGTGAGGAGGAAGTGGCTGTCCTCAGTGTAATCCACACACTATCTTCTCGGTGGCAGCCGGGTCCTGCACTGTTGGCCTCGCCAGACCTGAATGAAAGCAAAGCCCCAGGCACATGGAGGCCAAAGACCTTAGCTAAGTTATGCCCCTTTCTAAGGGATTGTGCCATCCTCTGGAATGGAGATGTTTTAGAGAAAAGCCAGCCCTGTGCCTCCCCGTGTGGCGTCCCCAGCCTTGGGGTCTGCCCAGTGAGGGACTGCCATCCTGGGCTCCCGGAGGAAATCGAACCAGCCCCTGCTTCCAGACACCTGCTGTTTTATAGCCAGAATCTCAGACAGAGGAAGGAGGGTTTGAAGTCCACCTCTTTTTGGATAAAGACCTGGCCCAAGAGTTCAGAGTCTCAAGTTAACGACTGAGACGAGCTGAATAAACGTGGATAATCTGAGTCCAGCTGCTATTCAGGGAAGGCCTCTTGCGTGCCAGGCCCTGAGCAATGGGGAGTGGTGAGCAAGGGGCTACGAAGGGCCAGTGCTGAAGGTCATCGTAGGCCTTGCTAAGGACCGGTTTTACTGTCTCCTCAAGGCGCAGGTGAGTGAGGCAAGTTCTAAAGGGGGAATGACACAACTAGATGTATGTTTCAAGAGTTTATCCAGCCCTGGCTGGTGTGGCTCCATAGTTGGAGTGTCAGCCCTCACCCCAAAGGGTCACGGGTTCGATTCCTATATAATAAATAGGTAATATGCAAATTGACCGTCATGCCCTCACACAAAGATGGCCGCCCCCATGTGGTCACAAGATGGCCACCACAAGATGGCCAGCAGGGGAGGGCAGTTGGGGCAACCAGGCCAGCAGGGGAGGGCAGTTGGGGGCGACCGGGAAGGCAGGGGAGGGCAGTTGGGGGCGATCGGGCTGGCAGAGGAGCAGTTAGGCATCAATCAGGCTGGCAGGGGAGTGGTTAGGGGGTGATCAGGCTGGCAGGCAGAAGTGGTTAGGAGCAATCAGGCAGTCAGGCAGGCGAGAGGTTGGGAGCCAGCAGTCCCGGATTATGAGAAGGATGTTCGGATGTTCGGATGTTCGAACTGGCAGTCGGACATCCCCTGAGGGGTCCCAGATTGGAGAGGGTGCAGGCTGGGCTGAGGACACCCCCCTCCCCCAGTGCACAAATTTCATGCACCAGGCCTCTAGTTTATGAAATAAAAGTTTAAAAAAAAAAGTTTATTGCCCAGCCAGCGTGGCTCAGTGGTTGAGTGTCAACCTATGAACCAGGAAGTCATGGTTTGATTCTGGGTCAGGGCAAATGCCCGAGTTGCAGGCTCGATCCCTAGTGTGGGGCATACAGGAGGCAGCTGATCAATGATTCTCTCTCATCATTGATGTTTCTATCTCTCTCCCTTCCTCTCTGAAATCAATAAAAATATATTAAAAAGAAAAGAGCCATTTCCCTTTAACCTTTGAACTTTTGGTAGCACTGTAAATGAACAGGTTGTAATCTAAACTATTAGGTTGTAAAGTAACAAGTTGTAACCGAAAAATCATCTCATATTTGTTTTTTTAAAAAAAGAGTTTATCCAGACTGCTGTGCATAAATTCATAAGGAAGCTGATGTCGAATTAAAAGAGAAGCAAAGAAGGTGGCTTAGATGAAGTTATTATATTTGTCACCATGAGAGAGAATTGGTTGTGCATGTGATTTATTTAGGAGGCGACGTTAGCAGGACTTGGGAAGAATTGCGGTTGGTGGACCAAGCTCTGGCTTGAGTGTCCGGGGATTTTGGTGTCATTTACTGAGATGAGGCACATGAACCAACAAGTTCCCTTCTTCTCTGGACATTAGTTTCTTCTGTAGTTCCTTCCAGCTCTCCAAATCTAAAATTCTACTTCCTAGTCAGAAAATTTCTCTGCAAGAAAGTAAAGGCAAAAGAAGTGGGGAGGCTCAGCCGGTGTGGCTCGGTGGTTGAACATCCACCCATGAACCCAGAGGCCACGGTGCGATTCCCCAAGTCACCTGCCCAGGTTGCAGGCTGCATTCCCAGTAGGGGCTGTGCAGGAGGCAGCTGATCAATGATTCGCTCTCATCATTGATGTTTCTCTCCCTCCCCTTTCTCTCTCTGAAATCAATAAAGACATATTTAAGAAAAAAAGAAAATGGGTGGGGGCATGGGGGAGGAAAGGATGGTGACATGAATGGGCCCTGAAGTTGGCTTGAACATCTTGCCAGCCTGGCATTCAGCACGTGACTGAGGACACGTGGGTGATGGGCAGAGCTGGGCAGCACCACCCATGAGGGCCCCCTGTGTGCTCCTCAGGGGAAGCATCTTCAATGTGTCGCACAAGCCCCAATGCTACTCACCCTCCTCGAGCGCCTGGAGAGAAGACGGCCACTGCTTGCCAAAAGTATTTAGGTCAAACTCCTACTGAGAGGCATTGAGCAGAGGAAAGGCCAGAGGCCCAAACCACCATTCTCTTCTTATAAAGCCAATCACAAGGGAATTCCGCACATGCCAGATTGTCTTAGTCTGTTTGGGCTGTTAAATTAAAAATACCAGAGGCTGGGTGGCAGTGACTGGCGAGGACCTGCTTCCTGGTTCGTAGACAGCCGTCTTTTTGCCGTGTCCTCACATGGCAGAAAGGGCGAGGGAGCTCTGTGGGGTCTATTTGATAAGGGCATTCATTCCATTAAGAGGGCTCCACCTTTATTGCTCCCCAAGGCCCCACCTCCAAATACCATCACATTGGGCTTTAGGATTTACCATATGAATGAATCCTGGGGGACACGAACATTCAGTCTATGGCCCAGATCTAAAAGGTCTCTGGCCCAGGCTCCCACACCTCTCGGCCGATTCACAAAGAGGAGCCAGTGCCCACACTGCAGTGAGGAGGACACGCAGGAGCAGGGAGGGTCCGGCCTGCTGAAGGGCCACCCTCCACCGAGTGCTATGAGGAAGAGCCAGAATCTCAAAGACACCCAGCTGGCTGCAGGGCACCACGCTTGGAGCAGCTGTGAAATTATGCCAACTTGTTTTCCAAATTTGGAATCTGCTTGATTGTGTTAGAGAAGTGGTTTTCAACCCTACTCTCCATACGCTGGTTTCAGGCCTTGGTTCCGCCCTCCTCCACAGCCCTCAGGTCAGTTTCATCCCACCCAGGTGCCCAGCCCTGGCTCCTGGCACCACCCCTGAACATTCTTCCTTGGTCCCTGCTTGTCCCATAGAAGGGCTTGAGCACCAAGACTCGGAGACAAGCTGAAGGGTTAGCAGAAGCAGTTGGTTGCACAAGAGCAGAGAAACCAGATGATTAATGGCAAATTCCCGTTAAACAGCCCCGGAGGCATGCCTGTGCACGCCAGCCCGAACCCAGAGGCTTGTACTATGTGGAGCTCTGTAAGAGAAAAGCACAGACTGGTAGCAATTGGAGAGGAGAAACTTGGGTAAAAAAAAAAAAAAAGATTTATTTATACTTTGTTTTTATTTAAAATCATATCTACGTTGTGCAATGAAAAAATGAAAAGTGATATGTTTTTCTTAAGCATGAGTTTCCGGACTGGCATTCTAGAACAGGAGTGAGCAAACTCCTTCTGTAAAACGGCCAGTAATAAATTATTTTAGGCTTTGTGGGCCTGTCACAGCTATTCAACCGGGTGACACAAAAGCAGCTCTGGAGACCATGTGCACCAGTGGGCGTGGATCTGTTCCCGTAAAACTCTATTCACACAAATAGGCAGTGGGCCAGGTTGAGTCTATGAGCTGGCCAACCTCTGTTTTATCAACTGAGATTCAATTAAGCGTGAATATGGAGGCTATTTAGACCGTGAGGTCATAAATCAAGAGCCACAGTCCACTTGAGGCAGCTTTCCGAAGCTGCACTTATCAAAATTGGAAGTAAACAATTTTGCAGAACCAAACCTACAATCCTACAACTCCAATTTGTGATGAAATAGGTCAGGGCTCTAAAGATGTGGAAAAGCCCGCCCTCCGTGGCTAATGTTGGTTTCTCGCCCCTCCAGATATGAAATCAGGTATTTATTTGAGTGAAGCCTCTTAGGAACAAGTGGCCTTTAAATCGATTCCCAGGGCCTCTCTTGGATTGTTTTTGCCACATTTTAGACAAATCTTTATATCATGGAAAATTAGGTTGAGGTCGTTAACATTAGAATTGATGTTTAAGTTATTTGAATGCTTTTGGAATTTAACAGTCATTGTTAGTGAAGGGTAAAAAATCAGCAAATATTATGTAAATCATTCTATACTGGTCTGGGATTGTAGATAAAAGTGTAAGTTTCTGGATTGGTATATTTTGGTTGCAAATGATAGAAAACCCAAATCAAATTGGGTTAAGCCCAAAAGAGCACTTACTAGCAAAGGTGGATGGCATGCTATATGGATTCGAACACCACTGGGACCCAGCTTCTCTCCCTCTCGGCTCTGTGTTCCAGGCTGGCTTCCTTCTCAGGCTCTAGGTAGTCATGAATGGCTGCCAGCAGCTGCAGAGCAACAACCTCCAGGTTCAAGGTCAGTGGAAAAGAGGGAATACCTCACTCCCAAGTCCCAGCAGAAGTCTCCTTGCATCTCATGGCTCAAGCTGGGCTCCATGACCATCGCTAACCCAAGGCCATGGCCAGGGGTTTGCAGTACTCCAGCTGTGCCCCCACCCCCATGCAGGGCAGCCACAGGACAGAGGAAACCCTGCCTGAAGTACATGCCTGGTTGCTGTAGATCAGGATGGTTTTCAAGAGGAAAATGAGAGGCCCGGTTGGTATGGCTCAGTGGTAGAGCATCGACCTCTGAACCAGGAGATCATGGTTCGATTCCTGGCCAGGGCACATGCCCGGGTTGCAGGCTCAATCCCCAGTGGGGGGCATGCAGGAGGCAGCCGGTCAATGATTCTCTCTCATCACTGATGTTTCTATCTCTCTCCCTTCTCCCTTCCTCTCTGAAATCAATCAAAATATATTTAAAAAATAAAAAAGAGGAAAATGAGAGAAGGCTAAATGGATTTGAAAGGCAATACCAAGAGCAGCACCTACAGTTTAATTGGACCTGCTCTTTAGAAACCCTGTTGGCCTCGTTTGCTCTTGTCAAGTGTGATTTGCCCCATGACTGTCTCTTGGCATGTTCCCTCCTACAATAGCCAACTGTCAATTTATCCGACCTCAATGCCCAAAGGCCCAGGCCAGCCTTCCTGCTTAGCCTACTTCGCATGCAAAGATGGTGCTTCCAGTGGGGCCATCAGCATTGTAAACAAGAGGCCCAGTGCCTTTCTTCTCCCAAAGCGCCGGGGTGGGGAGGGGGGAGGAGTGCGCGTTGAGCAACTGCCTCAAATTTGGGGTTGGGAGCTTTTGTGGGGAAATGTAATGGAAGAGTTTTAGCTCCTTTGTGTATTTGAGGAAAGATCATGAGTTCCCAGAGAGAACCCATATTCTTAAAAAAAATTCCTCTCGTTGCTAATTAGTAGAACTAGATTTCCGTAACTCATTCCGTAACACCAGGGTCATAAATAATCACCTGTGAATGTGCTGGGGGAGTGCGGTGAACCTCAAGCTGCTGTGTGTATGGGGATTATTCAGACCGTGAAGTTGTAAATCAAGGATGACTCCAGCTGGGGAGGGAAGTCGAGGCCACCAGCTGGGCGGCTGAAGCTGTGGGAGAGTTGTGGGGTACCACAGTGGCTTTCGGATGAGAGATGGTGGCAGGAGGCAGGCCAGGCCAATGAGTGGAGGGAGCAACGTCTGCAGCAGTGACTTCTGAGGGAAGGAAAGCTTAGCAGCTGAGGAAGGTGGGGACTCCATGGACAGTAGCAGTGACCACAAGCCAAAGGGTGGATGCAGACAGGACTTGTACACGGAACCACGTGCCAGGCCCCGAAGAGAGCGAGGACTTGACGATGAAGAATGAAGAAAGTTCTGAAACAGCGCACAGGCAATCAGATGAAGTGGTAACAGGAGACCATCTTTCTGCTTTGCCTCCGTTGGGCCGCTAACCCACACCATTTTACCTCCCACTCAGAGGAGTTGAACTGTGCGCCTAGACAAGCAGCAGGGAGGGCAAAGCCAGGCAAGGCAGGACTTGCAGTGCGGGCAGGGCAGAGTCTCTGTAAAGTCCCTTCTTCCATGTTGCCCCAAAGGTATAACATGGAGAAGATATGTTCAGTGTGAACCCAACTCTGCCCGTGCCCGCAGGCCTGAGAGGGTGGGGCTGTGGTGGGCAGGGGAGGCAGCTCCCCTCCGGCCCACACCAGCCAGGCTTCCTGTGGTGACAAAGCCTGGGCCGCTCCATTGAACGTGGGTACCTGCCCTCTGTCCTCACCGCATAACTGTCCAGCTCAGGGAACTGCTCATTTAGTGTGTTTGGGGGAGCCCAACAGACGCAGAGCCGTGCCCCCCCTCCCCCCGAAGCTCAGTCTGACCTTCACTTCTGAGGTGAACTTGGGGCCCCTGGGTACCATTTGTAGAGGATCAATGTTTTCAACCAGGGACAGGGTGGGGGGCCTCCTCTGTGGCCAACATCTTCCTGAGCCTCAGCCTGCCCATCTTCAGACCCGCACGGCCTGCACATCGCCATCTGGCATCTCCTTGACCCCCGAGGGCTGTGGAACCTGATGGTCTGGATTTGAATTTCAGTTGCAGTGTTTGCTATAACCTTGGGCAAATCACTCAACCCATCCAGCCCTGAATTTCTCAATCCGTGAAAGAAGGATGTGAATGCTACTCTGTGGTGAACATAAAACACGACCATATAAAACAGACATAGCGTAGTGTCGGTGGCAACGTGTTCCGTGGAGGTCAGCTACTTTGTGACCTTTGACTCTCTTCTGACCTTTGCTTTCTGTTACAGCCCAGAGCAGGCCTGTCTCCTCCCACATGACACATCTAGTCTCACTGTTGTGTTTTTCAGGGCTTGCTCTTGGACCAGCTCCCACTGGCGTCCGTGTGCACACTGCTATGTGCTTCCAGAATCTTGAGACAGTGCCGCCCATTCCAGAACACTGCACCATCCTGAGTAACTATGAACTTCACAGAGTGGGCTTTATCAAGAGTTTTTTATAGAGCCTTCCAAGTGCCCTGTCCGGAACAAGAGCAATGACACCCTCCTGAATTTCTCTTCCCAGAAGGTGCGTCATTAGACATTTCCTGGCTGTTACAGAGACGGTCACCGGAGGACTGAAGTCATTTCTTCTCAGGCTCTCACTTGAAGCTTTGCTCCAACAAGGAGCATTGGCAGCTGCTCCCAGGTCAACGGTAATTCTCTTTTCCTCATTAATGACTTCATGAATGCATCTCAGGAGCCAGGCCCACGGGGCGATGTTTGCAATGTTTGCATTCCAGCTCACCCAGTCACTAGAACCAGCTTTAGAAAACTGAAGCCTCTGGCTTCAGCCCAGAGCCTCACCCTCACTCACCCGCTCACCTCCCGTCCCGGCTTCTGGAAAGTGTGCGCCTGCCACAGGGCTGTGCCCTGACTTGTTTCCTTGTGTTAAGGGGGTCATTAACGTCTCTGTAATTGCCCTAACCTGTCAAAGTGTGAAACACTGGCTACAGCAGAACGCACCTTGGTCCCCTGCAGTGACCAGAGAGGGAGAGGACTGGGGCGGGATGAGGTGCGGTGGGGGAGTCTGTTGTCCATTAGCGGGCGGGGCTTGGAGGCCCCACCCTCCCCAGAGCCTTCCTTTCTCCTTGTTATTTCAGCAGGCTTTGAGAAGTTCATCTTTCTCTACTAGAGAGGCTTCAGTTCTTCTCTATCCTGAGAGGACACCCACAGGAGAAGACCTCGAGTTGCCATGAACCCTGCCATCACCAGCCGTGAGCACCCGGACCCCTCGGTGAGTTCTGGGGAGAGAGGGGGAGGGGGGAGGAGAGTGGGCTGCAAGGACAGAAGAGCCCTGGTGGGGCCCAGCATGGAGCCCCAATGCCTGATTCATCATTAGTGCGGAGGACTGACCGATGGCTTAGGAGCTAAAGATCTGCGATTGTTAGACAAGGGTGGCAGCTGTGCTGGGACCTCACCGTCCCCAGGAGCAAAGACAGTGCTGACCTCTGTGAATGAATCACAAAGGGACAAAGACAGTGCTGACCTCTGTGAAGGAATCACAAAGGGAGGAAGAGGTAGAAAATTCTCAGCTTTCCCTTTACTCACAGGTCAACTCTGTTGGATCTAAATGTTTGTTCTCCAGGTTTCTCAGGTTATGATTCCTTTTATCAGAAATTTTTTTCTGAAGCAAAGCTAAAGGAAAGGGAAGGAGAGAGAGAGAGGGAGGGAGAGAGAGAGAACTGGTATTTCCTGAACAGCCAAAATGCCCCAGGCACTTTATTATTTTGTTCCTTTGGAGCCCATGGAGCAAGCTCTCTGCCCCATTTTACAAACGGGGAACCCGAGGCCCAGAGAAGTGAAGTCAGGGTCACCTCTGAGCCCTGTCCCTACCACCTCTGCAACCTATTTTGGCCGCCGGAACATATCAGGGGGGACTCTGCTCTGGCCACTGCCCACCGCGGCAGGAGCCCCTCCCTGTATGCCGGGCCAGGGCTGCAGCCCTAATGAGGTTCAGCCAAGTGTCTGCAGGACTCGGATCTGGGCTGGGCTCTCGGCGCTGTCTCCTGGAGCCGGTCTGCCAGGGCCTGCTCATGCTGGGCAGCCTCTGGTCAAGAGGCCCTGGCCTCCCTTCTAGAAAATCGTGGGGGCACCTGAGAGAACGCTCCTTTCTTCTCCTCAGAATAATTTCTACCACTATGTCACGGAAGCCCTCCCACCCCCCCACCCCCCGCAAAGAAACCCGAAACAAAACAAATCTTAAGTCAGAGAAGACTCCCTTTTCTGAAGGCTGTGATGTTGGCCACATTTTGGGCTTACCTGGGCCAGTGGGCGTGTGGAGGGGCCTGGGCACGTATCCGTCTCCTTTGAGTGGCCTGTCTTCTCTTCATTTTCCTCAAAGCCTCAACTTCAGCACCCACATGAGAGAAGGCGCTGTTGTGGGATGCGTGTGGTTTTCACTTGTACTAGCCTGTTGCTCTGCTAGAAACTTCTAGGGCTATACACACGGGAAGATAGCTTCCCGACCTTGCAAGCTTATGGCCTAACTAGGGGAAAGCGGGGTACGCAGAACTATTTCTACTTTAGGGGAGAAAACGGTTAATTACTGGGAGACAAAATGTTCCAGGAGTCCGAGGCAGGAAACACACAGGGTGGGGCATGGGGAGAGGTGATGGAGGAGGAGACATCGAGCCCTCGGGGGCAGGATAACGGAGGCCTCATTTGGAGAGACCTGGGCCGTCCCATGGGCTGCAGCCAGGTGGTGAGAGTGGTGGGAAATGAGCCTGGAGGGTGGAGTGCGGGATGGGAGGCTGTGTGCATGGATGGAGTCAGAGAGAAAGCGACCCGTCTTCCCCCCAGACCACCTCCTTTCCACGGCGGCTGCCCCTGCACCCGGCTCCTCCGGCTCTGCCCCAGGGAGCTGGAGGGCCGGCCCTCCCTCTCTGCACAAGGGAGACGCCTGCAGGGACGGCCCTCGACGCCAAGAGGAGGGTGCCCTTCTCCCATTCACAACGGGGTCTCGGACCACCTCACTGAGCCTCCGTTTCCTCACCTGTAAATCGGGGAGTGGTAAGATGAGGGTGAGAATCAAATGAGAGGCTGCTCGGAAGCTCCCTGTACACTGGGAAGCACCACACAATGGCAAGCCGCACCAGAATGCTTCTTTCGGTGAAATGACAGCCCATGTGCTGAGTTGGTAAACTCAGCTCCACCCCAAAGAGGTGTGGCCCCTCGTCTCATACCAGTGCTCACCAGCAGGGGTCGCTCCATTAAGAATTCATTCTCCGACCAAAAAGGGGTTCCCAAGCTTTTCCCTGAGTCACATGCACAGCCTTCTCCCCGGCAGGGGGTTCTCCGGGGATAAAGGTACTCCCCAGGTACTCCCCATATTGGGATCTTCCACCTCCATTGGAGAAGCCCTGCTCTCCAATGTCTCTGGAATATCACTGGTTTCTGTGTGGGTCTTCAGTGTGCTAATGATCCCTCTCTGGTGCACAGGAACCTTCAGGCATTTGTCTTCGTTGTATTTGTCTTAATTGTATTTGTCTTCGTTGTTGCTAGTTTGCCCCATCTCTTCCATAAGTGCCGTGAGGTAGTTAACAACAAAAGTCATATTTTGACAGGGCTCTGTGCTTTCCAGCCACGACTCATGGGCTTCAGAGAGTCACATACTCTTCTTAGACAGAAAGAACCAGCTGCTCTCAAGGGAGACACATTCCTCCCCCCGCCCCCCCCAAGCTCCATGTTCTAAAAGTTTTTCTTATTTGGAACCTCATGCAAGGTCAGTTTCCCAGGCATTGTTTTAAATCACATGTAGAAGTGGTTGCCATAACCTTTAGATCAGTGGTTCTCAACCTTCCTAATGCTGCGACCCTTTAATACAGTTCCTCATGTTGTGGTGACCCCCAACCATAACATTACTTTCGTTGCTACTTCATGACTGTAATTTTGCTACTGTTATGAATCGTAATGTAATTATACATGTGTTTTCCGATGGTCTTAGGCGACCCCTGTGAAAAGGTCATTCGACCCCCAAAGGCGTTGAGACCCACAGGTTGAGAACTGCTGCTTTAGATGGTCCTAGTTGATATGGAGACAACCTATTCAGAGGTCATCATGCTGAGAACAGTTGTTGAGTCCTTGTCTCTCAATAGGAAAAAAGACAAGAAGGTCCAGAACCAACAGTTCCCCCCACGTTTCCTTCTCCATCACCTTAAAAATTCTAAAAAGTCCTGGGAGAGGGCGGGAGGTGAGCTCGCTGGTGGAACACACACAACTGCACCCGCTGCAGCCCTCTGAGCTCAATCACAGGCGCACACGGGAGGCCAAGGGCACAATCAATGCATTCTAGGACCTCACAGCCCAGCAGAAGAGATGCATGAGGAAACCGCTCATTATAATAAACGTGCTGTGATGAGGGCTTTGGCCAACGTCAACACATGGCCTGGGGCAGCTACACCATTCCGGGACCAGGATCCCCCTTTTCCTGACTGGTTGGGAGAAAAACATACCCACGTCTGACCTTGGCATTGATCCCTTCCCTTCCTGCACAAAGCTGCTTCTCTGCCAGGGCTTGGCTCGGCATCCACTCCTTTTGCGTGGCCCCAGACTTCGCATGGAGGCCCTGCTGCGAGGTGCAATGTAGAAAACCCTTGGCCTTTTGAGTCTGGACCTAGAAATCCCCAGCTGGCCAACAGTTACCCCTGTCTCGTGCCTCTGGCCTCTGGAAGCCATCCATCTGTATGGTTGAAATCAGGAAGTCCACTTGATTCCTCTGGAAAAACCCAGGTGTGTCCTTGTCTTGTTCTCAGCAGAAGGGGGATGGCGTGCTCACCTTCTATGATGATGGCCACGGCAGGAAGAAGGATGGCCAGCACAGGAGTCCCAGCAGCAGCGACCTGGCCTATGGCATCCTGGACACTCCACCGTGGTATCTCTGCATCATCTTGGGGATCCAGGTAATGCCACGCAGCGAGCACTGGGTCCGAAGAGACTCTGCCTCAAAAGCCACAGCAGTACGCACCCAGGTCCAATTAGTCAAGATCCGAACTTCAGTTGTGGATACGCTTGTCTTCCTTGTAGCTGACCTCCAAGGGAACTCAGCCTTCTCGGGCCTCTCTTTCTCCCCAGGAGTTTCGGGGCGGGGGAGGGAACTAAGGAAGGGTCTCTTTCTCTAAAGACAATGACTGGGACCTTGTGGTGTGTTTTTGTTGTTGTTGTTTTGTAAAGGTACTACTTTTAATTTATTTGATTGGCAACAACTAAAAAGCGTGATAACTGATGCCTGGGAAATTTTGAAAAGCAAGCACTTTTGTTGGAACGTTATTTGGTACAACCTTTCTAGATGACAATTTGGTGATTTCTATTAACACGTAATACGCATATACCCTTTAACCCAGGCCCCGAGACGTAAGAATTTCTCTGAGGATATGCTTATTAGACTCGTTAAGATAAATACAAAGATGTACTTATAGCACTATCGGTAATAGTAAGACCAAAATCACACAGTAAGCACACAAAATGTCCATCATAGGAAACCGGTTAAACAATTTGTGACATAATCTAACAAATGACGTTTTTATGCAGCTGTTAAAAAGAGAAATATGTATTTACCCTGAGGTTAGGGAATGTTCTCCTAGCTATATTAAGTGAAAAGAGCAAAGTAAATAACTGTGCATAGTGTGATAAAGAGGATGATAGAAATGAGTATATGTAGTAATTTTGTATGCTTTGAAGGATTCATAAGAAACTAACAAAGATATTTAACTGTAGCTTTCAACTTTCACTTTTTATTTTGTAACTTTTGATTGCATGGGTTTTCTAATCTCATATATGTGTTTCTTTTCATTTTTACAAACTCCATGTGGCATATTGGGGATGGGATATACATTTTTGTTTGCTTCTTTGTGCTTTTCTATAAAGTAACAAGAGTAAATGTCATACTGTTTTGTTTTTTTAATCCTCGCCTGAGGACATTTTTTCCATTGGTTTTTAGAGAGAGTGGAAGGAAGAGGGAGAGAGACAGAAAGAAATACCATGTGAGAGACACATCGATAGGTTGCCTCCCACACACCCCGACCATGGTGGGGAGCCTGCAACCGAGGTGGGTGCTCTTGACCAGAATTGAACCTGGGACCATGCAGTCCACAGGCCAATGCTCTATCCAATGAGCCAAACAGGCTAGGGCTGTCATACTGTTTTTTAAATATCATAAGCCAACAAAATGGTTAATTTAGGTATATTATCATGAAAGGATGTTGAATTTTGTAAAATGCTTTTATTGCATCTATTGAAATGATCATATGATTTTTAGCCTTTATTTTATTAATATAGTGTATCATATTTATTGATTTGTGTATGTTGAACCATCCTTGCATCCCAGGAATAAATCCCACTTGGTCATGGTGTATAATCTTTTTAATGTACTGTTTAATTCCGTTTGCTAGCATTTTGTTGAGAATTTTTGCATCTATATTCATAAGGATATTGGCCTATGGTTTTCTTTTCCTATAGTATCTTTATCTGGCTTTGGTATCAGGTTATATATATGCTGGCCTCATAAAATGAGTTTGGGAGTGTTCCCTCTTCTTTAATTTTTTGGAAGAGAAGGATTGGTGTTAATTCTTCTTTAAATGTTTGGTAGAATTCACTAGTAAAACCATCTGGTTCTGGGCTTTTTTTTGTTGGAAGTTTACTGATTCAAACTTCTCATTTGTTAGCAGTCTGTTCAGGTTTTCTATTTCTTCATGACTCAGTCTTGGTAAGTTGTATGTTTCTATGAATTTATCCAATTTGTGTCTTACAGTACTTTGTGTCTCTATTTTATCAGTTGTAATGGCTCCTCTTTCATATCTGATTTTATTTCTTTGTATTGTCTCTTTTTTTCTTAGTCTAGCTAATGGTTTGTTTTCTTTTAAAAAATACACCTCTTAGTTTGGTTGATCTTTACTATTGCTCTTTTGGCCTCTTTATTTTTGCTCTGTTTTTTGTTATTTCCTTCCTTCTGCTAATTTTGGGATGAGTTTGTTCTTTTTCTAGTTCCTTTGAGGTATGATTTCAATCTTCTTCTTTTAAAAATATTTTTTAATTTATTTCAAAGAGAGGAAAGAAGAGGGAGAGAGGGATAGAAACATCAATGATAAGAGAGACTTATTGATCGCCTGCCTCTTACACACCCCCTCTGAGGATCGAACCTGAAATCCGGGCATGTGCCCTGACCAGGAATCAAACCCTGACCATGGGTTGATTCATGGGTTGACACTCAACCACTGAGCCACAGTGGCCAGGCATGATTTCAATCTTCTTAAATTTGATATGGCTGTTTTGTGACTCAACATAGGATTTATTCTGGAGAATGTGTTCAGGTCTTCCTGGTCAATGGTCTTGCCCCTACCTTGTGCCTTATTTTCACAATGAGCCTCTCACCTTGTTCTTGTTCTTTTTTTTAGAGGAAATATATTTTATTTTTATTTCTTTTAAATCTTTATTGTTGAGAGTATTACATATGTCCCTCTTTTTTCCGCCATTGCCCTCCTCCACCCAGTTCCCGTCCTGCCACAAGCCTTCACCCCTATTGTCTGTGTCCATAAGTAATGCATATATGCATATAAATTCTTTGGTTAATCTCTCCCTGCCTCCCTCCCTCTTCCCTCTGAGAATCGTCAGTCTGTTACATGTTTCCATGC